CACCAAAAAAGAAAAAAATGCATCTGAAAAAAAATAAACTTGTGTTACTTTTTGTTCTGCCCTAAGTAATCAGATATCTTGCCATTTACTAACTGTCCGTCACAACCTTGCAACCTTTCTATCCATGCATTATAATAGCCTATTAACTAATCTGCATAGCATTAATAAATCAATTATTAACCATAAATGAAGTAATTAGTTTAGTTCAGGAGTTTGCCTTATTAGAAAGTAGCACAGTATCATAACACACTGACCGTTTTCTTTCGTTGTGTTAACCAGGATGAAACCATCAGATTTTGACTACCTCAAAGTTATCGGCAAAGGGAGCTTCGGAAAGGTAGGGATTTCTTCTTCTTCGTTTTGTGCTTCTTCTTTTTGTTTGTGTGTTTATTGTTCGGACATTAAATGGCACCGCTCAAACTTTCACAGGTACTGCTGGCAAGACGTAGAAAACACGGAGACTACTATGCTGTGAAAGTGCTACAAAAACAGATGATTGTCAAGAGGAAAGAGGTAATCTATCTATCTATCTAAATCTTAGTCTATTCGTAATCGCGTAGGTTCTATATCTAAATTTTGGTAATTCGTACTGATCTATCTATCCCTAGTTTCTATTCTTAATCTATCGTATTTTCGTAGTCTTCAGTAGTTCTACTCGGTATCTTAGTTCGTAATCCTGATCTCCTATCCACTCACTGTATCTGTTGTGTCTCTGTAGCAGGGGCATGTGATGGTTGAGAGGAGCGTGCTGCTGAAGGGACTACAACATCCATTCCTGGTGGGGCTCCACTTCTCTTTCCAGACACCTAACACGCTCTACTTCGTCCTGGACTACGTTAATGGAGGGGAGGTATGTCTTTAACTATTATTTCTCTCCATCTATATCCTGAAAAACAACAGGACTAGCTATATATTTCTCAAGGCTAAACCAGAATCAACCAGTTGTAACCAGTTTCTCCACCGTGCTGCTAATGTGTGAATGTGACCACGCATCTGCTTGTCCTCAGCTTTTCTTCCACCTTCAGAGGGAGGGGTCATTTCCTGAACCCAGGGCTGCCTTCTACGCTGCAGAGATGGCCCTAGCGCTGGGCTACCTCCACTCTCTTGAGATTGTTTACAGGTACACACACACACACAC